CCACCCCTCACGCACGAGGCGCACACCGTCAGCGATCCGAGGCACACACCCGTCAGCGCCCACGAGCACACACCCGTCCAGCGATCACGAGCACCACAACCGTCCGCCGATCACGGGCACCCTCCAGCGATACGAGCACACATTCCCTCCAGCATCCGGGCAACAACCCGTCTCAGCGCCACTAGGCACACCCCGTCAGCGATCACGAGTCAACACCCGTCCAGGCCTCACGAGGACACACCCGTTCCACGATCACGAGGCACACACCCCGTCCAGCGATCACGAGGCACAATCCCATCAGCGATCACGAGCACACACCCCGTTCCACGATCACGAGGCACCACAGATCACGATACGAGGAACACACCCGCAGCGATCCAGGCACCACCCGTTCACGATCCGAGCACACACCCGTCCGCATCACAGGCACACATCCCATCCATGCGAATCACGAGGCAACACCGTCCAGCATCACAGCACAATCCCATCATGCATCACAGGCACAACCCGTTCCGCGACACGAGCAACCTACCCGTCCAGGATCATCAGGCACAAACCCATCCAGCGATCACGGGAATCATCACATCACAGCACACATCCGTCCAGCGATCACGAGGCACACACCCCGTCCCGATCACGAGGCACATCCATCCAGCGATACAGGGCACACACCCCGTCCTAGCGACCGAGGACATCCCCCGGGTTTTTTTTTTTCCCCCAGGGCGAATTTTTTTCCCCCACCCCGGAGGGGGGGCCCCCCCACCAAACCCAACCCAGTCCAGCGATCACGAGGACACATCCCGTTCCGCGATCACGAGGCACATCACCCGTTTCCACGATCGAGGCAAACCACGTCCACAGGATCACGGCAACATTCCCGTCCAGCGTCCGAGGCACCACCCGTCAGCGATCACACCACACCGTCTCAAGCGACCCGATGGCACACACCCCGTTCAGCGACCGCACAACCCGTCAGCGTCACGAGGCACCACACCCCATCCATGCGATCACGATGGCACCCCCGTCAAGCGATCACGAGGCACACACCGTCCAGAGCCCCGTAGCAGCACACCCATTCCGCGAATCACGTAGCACACCCCGTTCCAGCGATCCAGGCACACACCCCTCCAGCGATCACCGAGGCAACAGACCATCCAGCGATCACTAGGACACACCCGCCGGACAGCAACACCCGCCGCGATAACGAGCACACACCCGTCAGCGATCACGAGCACCACCGGTCGCGATACGAGACACCCCCAGCGATCACGGCACACACCCGTTCAGCGTCACGAGACAACCCGATCCAGCGATCACGAGTCAACACCGTCACGATCCGAGGCAGACACCCGTCCAAGCAGTCCCGAAGCCCATCCTTCATGCATTACGAGCACCACCCCGTCACGATTCACGAGCACAACCCCGTCCATGCGATTCACGAGGGCAACACCCCTTCCGATCACCACGAGGCACACCCGTCAGCGACCACGAAGCAACACCCGTCCATATCTGATGCACACACCCGTCAGCGATCACGAGGCACAACCCCGTCGCGATCCGAGGCACACACCCTTCAGCGATCACTAGGACACACCACCACGACCACGGCACAATCCCTCCACGATCACGAGGACATCCTTCATCGATCACGAGCACACATCCGTCCACTATCACGTGGCACTAATCCCGATCCAGCGATCCCCCCCACCGATGCAAACCCATCAGCGATCACGAGGACCACCCGTCAGCTTCCAGCACAACCCCGTCAGCATCACGAGCACAATCCCATCATCGATCCGGACACATCCTCCAGCGATCACGGGCACACACCCGTCAGCGATCAGAGCACAATCCACAGCGATACGGCAATCCATCCGCGATCACGAGGCACACACCCGTCCAAGCGACCACAGGCACCACCGGCCGTCCGAGGCACAATCCCGTCCAGCGTCACAGGCACATCCGTCCAGCGGATCACGAGCACACACCCGTCCACGATCACGATCATCACACCCTATCCACGATCCACGAGCAACACCCCGTCCAGCGACACGAGCACACCCTCAGCGATCACGAGCACACACCCGTCACGATCACGAGCACACACCCCGTCCAGCGATTCACGAGCACAACCCCGTCAGCGATCACGAGTACCACCCCCAGCGCACCACAACCGTCAGCGACACGAGCACCATCCGCAGATCACACGAGGACACATCCCTCCAGCGACACGCACAATCCATCCACCACGGCAAACACATTCCCCGTCCAGCGATCAGAGGCATCACTACCCGTCAGCTATCACGAGGCACACATCCCGTTCCAGCGACCACGAGGCACACACCCGTCCAGCGATCACGAGGCACACATCCCGTCCAGCGACCACGAGGCAACCCGTCCACGGCCGAGCACCACCCTCCACGATTCACGAGGCACACCCGTCAGCGACCACGAGGACTCCCGTCCAGCGACACGAGAACACATCCGTCCAGAATACGAGCACCCCCCGTCACCGATTCCGAGGGCCAACCCGTTCCACGGACCACGAGACCTAGTCCAGCTACACGAGGCATCACATCCCCGTCAGCGATCACGAGCACATCATTCCGTCCAGCGAACGAGGCACACACACCCCGTCCAGCGGATCACGAGACACATCCCGTCCAGCGACCGAGCAAACCCCGATCCGACACGAGGCACACACCCCGTTCCAGCATCCACGAGGAAACCCTGTCCAGCACACGAGCACCACACCCCGCTCCACGATCACGAGCACACACCCCGTGTCCAGCGGACACGAGACCACATTCCGGTCCACGCGACACGAGGCACACTCCGTCGCGATCACGAGCACACACCCGCCAGCGATCATCGAGTCACAACCCGTCCAGCGACCCGGCACAAATCCGTCCAAAGCGACTCAGAGCACACACCCCGTCCAGCGATCACGAGGCACACATCCCTCCAGCGATCATCGAGCACACATCCCGTCCACGATCACGAGGCACAACACCCGTCAGCATCACGCACACATCCCGTCCGCTATAAGCGAGCACCTACACCCCATCAGCGATCCACAAGGCACACTTCCCGTCCAGCGAATCACGAGGCACCACACCCCGTCAGCATATCCGAGGCCACACCCCGTTCAGCATCACAGGCACACCCGTCCAGCAACACGAGCACACACCCGTCAGCGACCACGAGCCACACACCCCGTCAGCGACCACGAGGCACATCCCCGTCCATCGATCAGAGGCACACACCCGTCCATCGCACGAGGCACACACCCCGTCCAGCGATTCACAGATGCACCACAACGTCCAGCGGACACGAGGCAAACATCCGTTCACGCCACGAGCAAACATCCCGTCCACATCCGAGCACAATCCCGTCACGATAACGACGGGACACACCCTTTCCACGCATCACGAAGCACCCACCCGTTCAGCGATTCACTGAGACACACCCCGTCCAGCGATCACGAGGCACACACCGTCAGCGTCACGAGCACAATACCCGTCCAGACCACGAGGCACACCCACCCGTCCAGCGCAACCACGGGCACCACCCGTCAGCGAATCAGCACACACCCCTCCAGCATCACGAGGCACACATCCCGTCCACCGATCACGAGGACTACACCCCTATTCCAGCCGATCACGAGCACAACCCCGTCCAGCGATCAGATGCAACACACCAGTCCAGCGACACGATTCACCACCCGTTCCAGCGATCACGAGGCACACACACCCGTCCAGCGACACGAGCACACACCCGTCAGCATTCAGAGGCACACCCCTCCAGCGACCACGAGGCACACACCCACCGCCAGCGATCACGATGACACACCCCAGCGATCCGAGCGACCACGAGGCACACACCCCGTCCAGCGACCACGAGGCACACACCCCGTCCAGCGATCACGAGACAACCCGTCCACGACACAGCTATCAAGCACCCGTCCAGCGATCACGAGGCACACCCATCCGACGATCACGCGCACACACCTCGTCCCACGATCCAGGCACAACCCGTCCACGACCACGGGGCCACACCCCGTCCAGCGATTCACGAGGCACAACCCCGTCAGCGACCACGAGGCACACACCCCGTTCCAGCGATTCACGAGGCACACATCCGTCCAGCGATCACGTAGCACACACCGTCCAGCACCACGAGCACACACGCCGTCCAGCGATCACGAGCCACACACCCGCCAGCGACACGAGCACCACACTCCGTCCAGCGACCACGAGACCACACCCGTCAGCGATCACGATGCACACATCCCCGCACGACCAGAGACCACCCCCGTCCAGCGATCACGAGGCACACATCCCGTCCAGCGACCCACGAGACCAACACCCCTGTCCAGCGACACGAGGACACCCCGTCCACGATCACGAGGCAAACACCCCGTCCAGCTATCACGAGGCACACACCCGTCCACGCACCGAGGCACACCACCCCGTCCATCGATCCGAGTACACCACACCCCTCAGCGATCCAACAGGGCACACTACCCCGTCCAGCGATACGGCACACACCCCGATCAACGTAACCACGAGGGCACACTACCCAGTCCATCTATCACCGAGGCACTACACCCATCCAGCGATCAGCACACACCCCGTCAGGACCCGAGCACAACCCCGCATCAGCGCAATCACGAGGCCACACATCCCCGTCTCAGTTCGACCACGAGCCACACCCGTCCAGCAATCACGCAGCAACCCCCGGCCAGCGACCACGAGCACACACAACCCGACCAGCGATCACGAGCAAACACCCCGTCCAGCGATCACGAGCACCACAATCCGCCACGCGACCCACAGGCACAATCCCGTTCCACAATCACGCAGCACACACCCCTCCAGCGACACGAGCACACACCCGTCACAGCGGATCACCGAGCACACACCCACTTCCAGCGATACGATGGCACAATCCTCCAGCGATCACGAGGCACACATCCCGTCCAGCGATCACAGACACTCCCATCCACGATCAAGAGGCACACATCCCATCCAAGGACACGGGCACACATACGGTCCAGCGATCACGAGCAACACCCCACGTCCCGCGCATCACGACACCACAACCCGAATCACGAATCACGGGACACATCCGTTCCGACGATCACAGCACAACATCCGTCCACGTTCACGACGGCAACATCCCCATCCACCATCCGAAGTCACACATTCCCCATCCAGCGACCACGATGCACCATCCCGATCCAGCCGATCCACGAGGCACAACCGTCCAAGCATCACGAGGACACACACCCATCCAGCGATCACGAGACACATCCCGTCCAGCGATCACGAGGCACACACCCGTCCAGCGATCACGCACACACACCCCATCACACGACCCGAGGCTAATCTTATCCGTTCCAGCCAGAATCACGAGGTCCACATCCAACGTCCAGCGATCACGATGCGAACAATCCGCCAGCGATCACAGACCACACCCGTCCAGCGATCCGCAGTTCACAACACCCCATCCAGCGACACGAGCACACATCCGTCACGATCACTAGACACTCCTCACGATCCGAGGCACCACCATCCCAGTCCAAGCGACCACGATCACACATCCCCTTCCACACCACGAGCACAATCCCTCCACGATCACGATGCACATCTCGCCGTCCACTCACGAGCACACACCCCCGTCAGCGGATCACGAGGCACAATCCATCCAGGACCCGAGCCACACCCATCCAGCGACCACGAGGCACACATCCCGTCCAGCGATCACGAGGCACACTCCACAATCCACGATCACGCAAGACACATCCCATCATCGATCACCAGGCACATCCCATCCAGCGATTATCGATGGCACCACCCGTCCACGACCACGAGGCAAATCCCGCATCCAGCGATCCGAGGCAAATCCCACTCCACGATCACGAGGCACACATCCCGTCACACGATCACGAGGCAACATACCCGTCCATGCATCCGAGGACACACCGTCAGCGACACGAGACAACACCATACCACCACGACCACAGGCACACATCCCATCCTAGCGATCACGAGGCACACATTCCATTCCAGCGATCACGAGGCACCATCCCTTCCACATCACGAGGCACACATCCCATCCAGCGATCACGAGCACCACACCGCTCCATCGACACGACCACTCCATCTCGATCAGCGAGAGCACAATCCCATCCAGCATCCGAGCACACACCCCCGGTCCAGCATCCGAGTCACAACATCCCGTCCAAACACGACCGGCACACATCCCGTCCACGCGTCACGATGCACCACACCCGTCCAGCAGATCAACGCAGCACACACCCGTCCAGCGATCAAGCACACACCCTCCAGCATCAGGGCAACACATCCTCAGCGTCACTAGCCACACCCGTCAGCGATCACGACAGGCACAATCCACGTCCAGCAATCCGTAGCACACACCCCGTCCAGCATCACAGGCACAGCCTCCATCAGCTGATCACAGGCAACCACCCGTCACCGATCACGAGACACAAAACCTATCCAGCGATCACGACGGCACACACCCCGTCCAGCAATTCACTAAGGCACACACCCATCCAGCGATCACAGGCCACACCCGTCAGCGATCACGAGCACAATCCGTCCGCATCACGAATAACATACCGTCCAGCAATCACGCACCACCACCCGTCCACGTATCACGAGGACACACCCATCACAGATCACGAGGCACCACACCCCGATCCAGCGATCCAACGAGGCAACATCCCATCCAGCGATCAACGAGGACAACACCCGTCCAGCGATCACGAGGGCACACACCCCGCTTCCAGCCAATCACTGGGCACAATTACCTTCAAGCGATCCGAGAACACATTCCCGTCCAGCATACGCAGGCACACATCCCGCTCCAGCGATCCGGGCACAAACCCCGCTCCAGCGAATACGAGACACCACCCCGTCCAGCGATCCGAGGCACACACGACCAGCAAGGCACACCACTCCCTTGTCCAGCGACACGAGGCACACATCCCGCTCCAGCGATCACGAGGCACACCATCCCCTTCAGCCGATCACGAGGCACACACCCTCATCCAGCGATCCACGAGCAACCACCCCGTCCGATCACGAGCACACACCCCTCGCAGACGAATCACCGAGCACACCCGTCCAGCGATCACGAGGCACACACCCCGTCCATCACGGACACATCCCGAGGGAGCACACATCCCGTCCAGCCGATCACGAGGCACACATCCCGTCCACGATCACGAGGCACACATCCCGTTCCAGCCGAATCACGAGGCACACATCCCGTTCCAGCGATCTACGAGGCACAATCCGTCCCAGCATACACGAGGCACACACTCCGTCCCAAGCGAATTAACGAGGCACACATCCGTCCACGATTCACGAGGCAACACATCCGATCCAACGCCACGAGGCATCCACACCCATCCACATCACGAGGCAACACCCCGCCACGATTCACGACGCACACAACCCGTCACATCACAGCACACACCCGTCCAGCAACACGACGGCACCACACCCGCCATCATCAGAGGCACACACGTCAGCGTCACTAGCAAAACACCCCGTCACCTCACAGGCACACACCCCGCATCCAGCGACCACGAGGAAAACACCCTCGCCACGCACGAGCACACACCCCGTCCAGCGATCACGTAGGCACACATCCCGTCCAGCGATCACGAGGCACACATCCGTCCAGCGATCACGAGCACACATCATCCACGACCACGAGGCACACACCCCAGTCACAGCCACATCACGAGGCACACATCCCGTTCCAGCGATCACGAGCACACACCCTCCGCATCACGAGCGCATCACACGTCCCGAACGGCACACATCCGTCCAGCGATCACGAGCACACATCCCCGTCCAGCGACACACGCACACTATCCCGCTTCCACGATCACGAGAACACATCCCATCACGACCACCGAGGCACACACCTCCTCGTTCCACCGATCACGAGCACAACTCACCCGCGTCCAAGCATCACGTAGCACACATTCCCGTCAGCGACACGAGCACACTAGTCCCGTCCAGGCACCACGAGGCAACATCCCGTCAGCGACCACGAGGCACGCATCCCTCAGCGATCACGAGCCACCCCCCGTCCAGCGCCACGAGGCACAGCCCTTCACGCCACGAGGCACACACCCCGTCCAGCACCACAGAGGCACACACCCCGCTCCAGCGACCACGAGGCACACACCCCGTCCAGCGACCACGAGCGATCCCGCCCACGAGGCACACATCCCGTCCAAGGCACACACCCCCGTCGAGGCCACACCACCCCCGTCCAGCGCCCACGAGGCACACACCCCATCAGCGCCACGCAGCACACACCCCATCCAGCGACCACGAGCACACACCCGTCCAGCGCCCCGACACACATTCACGACCACAGGCCACACCCGGTCCACGCCAGAGGCACACCGCGAACCCTCGACCGCAGATAGACCTGTCCGCGACACTCACGACCGGAATGCGACAGTTGCGTGCCCGGTCGCCTCCCACGGCCGTGTCCCCGCGTCGCTTACGTCGTCGGCCGAGGACTTTACGAGCCTCGAGTCCAGTTTTTACCCGTCCGGCAGAATTAGATGCGGGAATACAGCGCCGAGAACAGAGATGGACTCCTGATAGGGCCCCGGCGTGTTTGTTTGTCATATAACTTCTGCCTTCTGCCGGAGGAGGAGGAGGAGGAGGAGGGGTCGACGCGGCCGTGGGTGCCGGGGTCCTGTGGGCGAGGGAGGCGGCGGCGTAAGACCCCCTTCACGGAACCCGTTTGGCGTGCTGGTTCTTCGGCGCTGTCTAATATTCGGATCATTAGCATGCTTGAAATCTTTATAAACGGACTTTGCGGAACATTTAATGCGCAGATTGGTATCGCATTCCCCGCGCGCACGCTTGTCCGGCGCGTTTTGGTGTGAAATCTTTCTCGGGCGGATTGTCACCGATGCGACTTCGCTCTGTCACGGCCAATAAAACCTATCGGATTAGTTGTTTTGAACCGATATATGAACATTTTTTTTTTTATTTTATTTAATACGGTTTTAGCTTATTTTATTTAAATACGTGTTTAGCTTATTAGAGAAAAATAATACTATCCTTAGAAACTTTGCTTTCTTTTTTTTACCAAGGTAGATTCTCGGTGAAGGAACGGGGATCTAGATGCAGAAAAGCTATTAAAACTTATATAAATAGTAAATATTCAAATGTATTCCGGATTTTATCTGGCAACCCCACTGCGACGTGAAAATAAAGATGTTCATATCAAGTAAAATTCTAATGGGGGCAAGTACGACTCAGGGCAAGATTTAGCTAATTCAAACTGCACGAAAAAATATCACAACATCTCTTAGAAGAAGCCCATTAATATGCAGATCTGGGAGAGGCGTGGGGGGGGGAGGGGACGCTGAACCCGCTGATGGCACGATGCTGTCTCCGTTCCAGCATCCATTATGAGATACTTATATCGCTAATTATGGAGAGAAGTTTATCAGTGGCATCGGGGACTCTCCTATTTTTGCGACACATATACTCGTCTCCGCGCACGTAAACAAGACTAACATCAAAATCACTGCTGGTTAACCGTATTAAAATGAACTGGCAAAGGTGTTCGTTCCTGTTCAATCAATGTTGAGATTATGGCATTAGCCTCGCACATACCCGTAAAAGGCCTGATAAGCGATCAAGACCTGGAACTTAAGGCACTGACGAACAGCATAGGGTTTCGGATCCCTTTATGCAACACCGCTCGCTCTCTCTCTCTCTCTCTCTCTCTCTCTCTCTCTCTCTCTCTCTCTCTCTCTCTCTCTTCTCTCTCTCTCGGTGTCTTTTCTGGCATATTTTTAGGCGCTTTTTCTTGCTCGTTTCTCGATTCGATAACGACAAATAAATCTCGCATCCTACATTCTTTCCATTATCTCCCCGTTTACTCCTCCGGGCAAGGAATACGCGCTACGCGCCACTAACTCATGAAGTATAGATGGTCGGGAAGACACTCGGCTGACAGGGTATTAAGCACAACAGACCTCCTGCCAACGCCATAAAACCGGTGCTCGAATCCTTTTGCTGCGCCAGAAAGCTACCGAAGCCTTACCGGGCTACACTTTATTGAGTCGTTCTTATCCGATGTGTTACATTACTTAGAGCGCGGAGTGACTAAGGAGATGATTGCGCTCCGATCGGCGAGCATAGAAGCCCCCGGACGCGCCGCATACAGCAAGGAGGGATCGCGGGCGGATACCCCGGACTCCGTCAGCGACTGAACGGCGTTGGTGAGGCCCTTGGGTATCTCTCTTAAGCCGCCCACTCCGGAGTGCAGTTGGGCGTCGCCGATACCCAGGCGCTGTTCGGACGCATGACGTAAGTAATGAAAGGTAGATCGCGGGATTACGTCTGCCCAACGAGCGCCGAATCTCTGTCCGGCGCTAAATTGAATGAGCTAAACCACCAGTTAAGTCACAATGGCCGTTAAAGAGAGATCGCCAATAAACAGAGCGATACAAAAACCACCATAATCAAATTAGCAAACAACAAAGGCAACGGAATAAACGGCAAACGCAATGGAACAAACGTTTTATGAATACGATATCAGCGGATGATAAACGTCTCTCTCCAGCGGGCGCGGGAACAGCGCGGCGCGGCGGACGGGGCTCGTGCGCGCGCCCCGCCGCTAACGAGGCTGTCGGCGCCCTTATTTACAGCGGCAACGGGGCTAGATCGGGACTCGTTGCCTGTCGCTCGGGAGGATCAGGCCGCCGCGACCCGATAGCTCTTCCTTGGCTATGTTAAATGGGTTAATAATCTCGGAGGATCAGCTAAAAAAAAAAAAAAAAAAAAAAAAAAAAAAAACGAATAATAATGATAAATAGAAAATACAAAAGGAAAGAAAAAAGGCATTAACAACTAGCTTTCATCGCTCAAATTGGCCGAGAGGATCAACCTCAGCTCCATGAAGGCGAAGAAGCTCAGAAGAACAGATTACACGAATGAATTTACGGACGACCCCCCTCCCTCCTCCCCTCCTTCTCCCTCTCTCCCTCTCCCTCCTCCTCCTCCTCTCTCCTCACTCTCTCCTCTTCCCCTTCCACTCTCTCTTCTCTCCTCTCTTCCCCTCTTCTCCCTCTTTCCCCTTCCTCCTCTCCCTTCTCCTGCTCCTCTCTTTCTCCCTTCCTCTCCCCTTCCCCTTACCCCTCTCCTTTCTCTTTCTCTCCCTTAACCCTCTCCCTTCTTCTCACTCTCTCCCTCTACCCTTCTCTCCCTTCTTCTCATTTCTCCTCTCTCTCCTCTCCCTTTTTCATTCTCCCTCTCTCCTCTCTCCCCTTCCCTTCTTCTCCTTCTCCCTCCCCTTCCCTCTCTCTCTTTCTCCTCTTCCCTTCCTTTACCATTCTCCCTCTCCTACCCCTCCTCCCTCTCTCCTTTTCCCCCCTCTTCCATCTCCTTCTCCTCTCTCCCCTTCCCTTTACCATTCTCCTCCTCCCTGCCCCCCCCCAACTCCCCTCGCCTCAATCCTCCTAAGACACCAAAGTAAAAAAAAAAAAAAAAAAAAGTCCCTCAATGCAAATAATTTCCAACCAACGGATCGACACAGCAATTACACAGCAGAGCATACAAGGCGAGGATTTTTTTTCTTTTTCTTTTTTTCTTTCTTTTTTTTTCTTTCAAGTTTTCCCAGTCGAGAGCCAGGTGATGCTGGGCCCGGAGCATCCTGTCGGAACCATGTTAGGAGCACCAAGGACGTCTTCTCTGCCCTCTGGTGGTGTCCATCTAATGTATACATGCAGTCTCACCGCCCCCCTCCTTGCCCTCCCCTTCTCCCTTGATCCCTTTGCCCGCCCCTCTTCGTTCTAAAGTGCAAGCAACAGGCCGTCTGACTCCTGCGTTGTTTGCTTGTGATAAAGTGGCACTCAGGGCCGTGATGTCCTTCGTTACTGCGGCGTGCGGGGGCCTCCTTGTGATATAGAGGCAGTCTGGTCTTCTGCAAGCATCTCCACCCTCTTCATTAAATTCAGGAAAAGGTCTATGTAAACATTCGCTTCGTCATCATTTTCCATTAAGTATGAGAAACAGTATAGGGTCTTTTTGTTGTTGTTTTTTCCTGCTGAGCTACAGAGATTGTGATTATATCCAAACGTAGCATTTTCCATGCTATAAAACCTAATTCCATTGTCAAATAATACCTTCATTGTTGAAGTACAAGATTTCTACATTATTTCCGAATAAAATTATACATTTCCTGAATAAACAAACGCTTTGGCAGTCAACATACACCGACAAAACATCCAAAGCTATACAGAACTCGACCACGCTAGCAGTTTGTACCCACACGCCCTGTACAGTTACTACCCTTCCAGTTACTATTCCTCCCGTCCCTCTGTGAAGGATCACCTTTCATTTGTCGTGCTGATGAACACCCCCCAACACAAGCGCGTTTCAAGGAGTGCCTGTTCAACCGCATGGACGGATCTCACTCAAGGGTCGGTGCACACGTGTACTTCAGTCAGGAGAAGGTGCACACAGCTATCGCGTCCGTGTGCACAGGGTCGATTCCCACATGGGGAGACTGTGAAGATTTACTCTAGAGAGGGAGGAGAGGAAGAAGGAGAGAAACATGGTAGGAGGAAGGGAGGAGAGGAAGAGGGAGAGATTCATGGCAGGAGGAAGGGAGGAGAGGAAGAGGGAGAGATTCATGGCACGAGGAAGAGGGAGAGAAATGTAAATGGGGAAGGTGAAGGGTGGGGGAAGGGATGGGAGAGAAGCATGGCAGGAGGAGGGTGAAGGGAGGGAGAGAGGGAGGAAGCATGGCAGGGGGGAGGGTGAAGGAGGAAGGAGAGAGGGAGAGAAAATGTCAGGGAGAGGGGTGAGAGGAGGGGAAAGGGAGGGAGAGAAACATGCCATGGGAAGGAGGAGAGGGAGGGAGAGAAATATGACAGGAGGAAGGTGGAGGAGGAGGGAGAAGTGGAGAAGTATGGAAGGAGGAGGAGGAGGGAGAGGGGAGAAAACATGTTAAGAGGAAGAAAAGGGAAAGGGCGAGGATAAGTAAAAGGAGAGAGGGAATGAGAGAAACATGACAGGGGTAAGGATAACAGGAGATGGAAGAGGAAACAAAACATGTCTGGGATAGAGAAGGAAAGAGGAAAACATGTCAAGGAAAGAATAAGGGGAGAGGAGGAGAAAGGAGAGAAAAATAATAAAAAGAAGAAGAGGGAGAAGAAGGGAAGATGAAAGAATAAAGGAAGACAGGGAGAGTGAAGCGAGAAAGAAAAGAGAGAAACACAGCAAAGGAAAAGACGACGAGAGATGGAGAAGGGAGGGAGGGAGGAGAGGGAAGGGGGTGCCGGGGTGTCCCGGGGGAGGGAGGGAGCATGAGGGAGGGAAGGGGGTGCCCCGGGGGACTCGAGCCTCACGGAAGAACCCGGTTAATTTCTCCCCGCCCACTCGTAACCCCGTGTGACCCCTGGGGGAGTCGCTTCTGAGTGTTGATGGTGATGTGGTTGTTGTTGTGGTAGGGTTATGGTTGCCGTGGTCGTTATGGTAGCTCTAGTGGTGGCAGTAATTAGTAATAAGAGCGGTTAAGAGCTTGTAGCAATGGCGAACGAGGCAGTTTGGGTACAATGTTGCGCCAGTAGTGTTTT